GATTATGTAGCCTTGTAGTATAGTTTGAAGTCAGGTAGTGTGATGCCTCCAGCTTTGCTCTTTTTGCTTAGAAGTGACTTGGCTATGCAGGCTCTCTTTTGGTTCCATATGAAGTTTAAGGTGGTTTTTTCCAGTTCTGTGAAGAAGGTCATTGGTAGTTTGATGGAGATAGCGTTGAATCTATAAATTACTTTGGACAGTATGGCCATTTTCACGATATTGATTCTTCCTAACCATGAGCATAGAATGTTTCTCCATCTGTTTGTGTCCTCTCTTATTTCGTTGAGCAGTGGTTTGCAGTTCTCCTTGAAGAGGCCCTTCACATTCTTTGTTAGAATACAGTGAACTCATTTTTGACAAAGGTGCCAAGAACATAAATATATAGTGTGGGAAATAATTGTCTCTTTAATAAATGTTGCTGGGAAAACTGGAAATCCATATGCAGGAGAATGAAACTAGAACCCTATCTCTCACCATATAAAAAATTAAATCAAATTGGATCAAATAACTTAAATCTAAGACCTCAAACTATGAAACTACTAAAAGAAAACATTGGAGAAACTCCACAGGACATTCAAGTAGGCAAAGATTTCTTGAGTAATATCATACAAGCACAGGCATCCAAGGCAAAAATGGACAAATATGATCACATCAAGTTAAAATGCTTCTGTATAGCAAAGGAAACAATCAATAAAATGAAGAGAAAGAATGGGAGAAAATATTTGCAAACTATCCACATGACAAGGGATTAATAACCAGAATGAGGAGCTCAGACAGCTCTATAGGAAAAAACTAATAATCCAATTTTTTAAAAAGGCAGCCAGGCACAGTGGCTCACACCTGTAATCCCAGCAGTTTGGGTGGCCAAGGTGAGCGGATCGCCTGAGGTGAGGAATTCAAGACCAGCCTGGCCAACATGGTGAAACCCTGTCTCTACTAAAAATACAGAAAATATCTGGGTGTGGTGGTGGGCACCTGTAATCTCAGCTACTTGAGAGGCTGAGGCAGGAGAATCACTTGAACTGAGGAGGCAGAAGTTGCAGTGAGCCGAGATTGCACCACTGCACTCCAGCCTGGGTGACAGAGTGAGACTTGTCTCAAAACAAAAACAAAAACAAACAAAAACAGGCAAAATACCTCAATGGACATTTCTCAAAAGAAGACATATAAATGGCAAACAGCATGAAAAGGTGTTCAACATCACTGATCATCAGAAAAATGCAAATCAAAACAACAATGAGATATCTAAAAGACAGGCAATAATGAATGCTGGTGAGGATGTGGAGAAAAGGGACCCCTCATACATTGTTGGCCAGGACGTAAGTTAGTAGAACCACTATGAAGAACAGTTTGGAGTTTCCTTTAAAAACTAAAAATAGAGCTACCACATGATCCAGAAATCTCATTGCTACATGTATACCATAAAAGAAACAGGATATTGAAGAGGTATTTGCACTTCTATGTTTATTGCAGCACTGTTTACAATAGCTAATATTTGGAAACAACCTAAGTGTCCATCAACAGATGAATGGATTAAAAAATGTGGTTATATATACATAATGGAGTACCATTCAGCCATAATAAAGAATGAAATTGTATCATTTGCAACAACATGGATAAAATCAGAGGTCATTATGGTAAGTGAAATAAGCCAGGCACTGAAAGACAAACTTTACATGTTCTCACTTATTTATGAGAACTAAAAATTAAAACAACTGGACTCAGGGGATAGAGAGTAGAATGATGGTTACCAAAGGCTGGGAAGGGTAGTGGGAGGTGAGGGGGAGTAAGTGAAAATGATTAATGAGTACAAGAAAACAAAGAATAAAGATCTAGTATTTGATAACACAACAGAGTGACTATAGTCAATAATACTCTAATTGCGCATTTAAAAATAGCTAAAAGAATATAATTTGATTGCTTGTAACACAAAGGATAAATGCTTAAGGTGATGGACACTCCATTTAATGTGATTATTACACATTGTATGCCTGTATCACAATATCCCATATATGCCATAAATGTATACACCCCACTATGTACCCTCAAAAATTACAAATTAAAAAAAATGTATCCCCTACAAGGATACAAACTAACAAATCAAGGAATATTCTGTGTAATATGGTGTTACTGTTTTATACCAGCAGTTTTATTCTTCAGTGTTATAATCCCTGTGTGTTACAGACATGACTTTTTACTAAAAATTCAGAGCAAAGAAACTAGAAGTATTTAGATGTAGTTACAGTGTTTATTTAATAACATAATATGTAAATATTTTTGTTCTTTTTGAGTCGAAGGAAAATGGATGTCCGTGTATTGCACCTGTCAACGGAAAAAAAAAAAAAACCCTATTAGACTATTATCATATGATGTTAAAGGGAATCCACTTCCTTCCAAAAGTTAGTTTTTAAAGAATTAGAACTCAATAATACAAATTGGATTAAATACAATGATAATAACCAAATAGAAGAGATACTATATTTACAAACAAACATTGTTTCCTTCAATGTTTTCATTCTGAAATGAATGAAAATTCATTTTGATTTTGCATAAAAATCATGCAAGCATCCAATAATGAATTAGGCAAAAATAAAGTTAATCGAAGTGCAGGTTTCAATAGAAAACGTTACTGCCTGTTAAGGAATAACAACGAAGGCTTCTTTTTTTCTGTCACTTATTTTGTGGTTAGACCACAAAGACTTCTATACAAAGATGTCATTGTGATTATGACTCACAGATAACAAAAGATTCTAAAAGTAGTAATTATATTCAGTTTGGAGATTTATGAGGTCCACCTGAGCAGAGGAGACCAAGAGTGTGCATAATTAGACTGTAGTAGTCAGTAGTAGCCCAGAAAAAAACAGTGCACACACGGAAGTGGGAAGAAGGACATGAAAAACAACTACACTATGTCACTCCCACCACCACCACCACCATTATAGCAGCAACAGATGCTGAGTGCTGAACCATTGCCCCTTTCCCTGCAGGGAATTAGATGCTGCTCCTTTAACTTAACCCTTTGCTTGATTAAAAAAATACATATATATACTCAGTTTAATGCAACACTGCTCTCCAGTAAAAGAAATAAATAATAATAAAGGAAATATGTTTTAAATGAGGAATGGCTATGGTAGGCTACTTTGCCTATAGGTATAAAACTGATTTGTATTTTTAAAATCGCAGTCATAAGCCTTCTCTCTTGGCAGCTGTGATTACTATTTTTTTTTTTTTTTTTTTTTTTTTTTTTTTTTTTTTTTTTTTTTTTTTTTTTTNTTTTTTTGCTCTGTTGCCTAGGATGGAGTGTAGTGGCGCGATCTTGGCTCACTCCACCCTTCGCCTCACGGGTTCAAGAAATTCCCTGCCTCAGTCTCTCGAGTAGCTGGGATTATAGGCGTCCACCACCATCCCCAGCTAATTTTTGTATTATTAGTAGAGACAGGGTTTCGGCATCTTGGCCAGTCTGATCTTGAAATACTGATCTCGTGATCCACCCGCCTTGGCCTCCCAAAGTGCTGGGATTACAGGCAGGAGCCACCGTGCCTACTCTTATAATGGGTAGGAGAACTGTGCAAGGGATTTATCTTTGGATTAGCATCCAAGATGGAATCACTTTTGTCTCCACACAGGGTTATCAAAAATAAGGAAAGTCTGAGAAAGTATCAAACCAAGAGAAGCCTATACAGTCATGAACACTAAATGTCATGTGGTATCCTTGATGGAAATTGGAGAAAGAAAAGGACATTATTAGTTTAAAACTAAGAAAATGTGAATAAAGTATGAACTTTAGTTGATAATAATGTGTCACTATTCGTGCATTAATTGCAACAAATATACCATATTAATAGGTTTATCACAGGGAAAGCTGGGTGTTAAGTATATGGGAATTTTCACTACTATCTTCATAATTTTTCTGTAAATCTAAAATTAATCTAAAGTTTACTTTTAATAATCTGATTCATGCATAATCCCAGGTTCTAAGACTGGAGTAACTTACTTCTCTCGTTACCATCATCTACTGTCTTGTGGGTCATGCTGTCAGTCTTATTCAGAGCCCTTTGTCATCAGGCTAGTCTTTACTCCAAGGCTCAGCATAATCTTCAGGCTCTTCAATATTCATATGGACAACTCATCCGACATCATTCCTAACAATTTCTCCATCTATTCAACTCCAATCACCATCATATTTTCTATACCCAGAGCCACACAATGCTACCTCCCCAATTTGGATTTCTGACCAGAGCCCAGCCTCCCCATTCACCTCCATCTTCCACAGAATCATTAATTTTTTTAAAATTTATTATTTTAAAAAAATTTTGTGGGTACATAGTAGGTATGTATATATGGCATAAAAATCCCTAATTTAAGTGTGATGTGGAGTCACCTAAGACTGCACTTCCTAGATTTCCTTCTGCTGTGACCCAAATGACTAATTCTGGTCAGTGTGTTGTTTTTTGGTATATGTGTCCTTAAATGGAGAAATAAGATCCTACTTATCCCTTCCTCTTTGGGGCTGGGTGAAATGTGAGTGTAATGGCTGGAGTTCCAACATCTATTTGGATGATGAGATGACTGTGGGAATGGAAGCTGTACACAGTAGAACTAGAAGATAGAAAAATCCTGGGTCTCTGATACCATAGCACAACCACACCAATGTTGATTGTATGCCTCTGTAACTTTACATGAGAAAGAACTTCTATTTTGCTTAAGTAACTGTTACTTTGTGTTTTTATCCTTCCTAGTTCAACTTACAAATCTCAATTCACGTCCTTATTCCAGCAACCCCTATTTGGCAATATAGTACAACAGTGAAGGACAAGAGCTTCAGAATCAAACAGATGTGCTTTGACACCCAGCTCTAGCACTTAATAACTGCCTGATTTTAGGCAATTCACCTAAATGCTGTGTCAATTTCCTCATTTGTGTCTCCCTCATTATGAGGATTAGACTGTATGAAACTTATAAAAAGCTTAATAAGCACCAATCTCCTGGGAGTGCCTTACTCTGGGTTTCCTGATGCAGCATTTCATTGCTTTCGCTTGCATTCTCAGGACCCTCCCTTCCCTGGCCTGCTGCATCTTCCTTACAGACTTCCGCCTTGATCCCTGGAAGGTTTTCTCCAGGCCCATGCTACTGCTATCACAATCGTGCAAATTGGGACCACTACAAATGCATAGTCTCCAGCATCAGCAGTGGGGCCCTACGTGAGGCTGGGAAGTATTTGAAATTTGTCTCTGTCACTAGGCATGTCTTTTCTCCACTGCATTTATACAATGTTTTCAGTTTCCTCCTCAAACCATCCCAGGGTGTTTCTGCTACTTTAAAGGAAAAGAATTTCTCCTCTCAATCCCACACTCCATTCTATCTACTATCCTTCTCAACCCAGCTCTTTGAAAAAGCAGTCATCACTACTGCCTGAGAAAGAGAAGGCTTGATGGAGGGATGTCTCTCAGCTCAACATGCCCCGGAACAACTCACCATTCACCCCGCCAACTCCATCTCAATCAATCCTGCTCCCTGTCCTGCACTCTTGAAGCCAAAACACTAGGCTCACCTTTCACATTTCCCTCAAGCTCAGGCCAGGGTGTTTCTTTCCTTTTCTCACCTGGAATTACTGTTGGGCATACTCTTCTTCCTCATTTTCTGTCTGGCAAACATCCCCTTGTTTTTCATGAGGGAGCTTATATTACCTCCCCTTTCAAGTCTCTACTTAAGTCCTACCCACCCCCAAGATACAACTATTTCTCCTTTCTGTCCGTACATTGTACAAGCTAAAAACTACCACTTTTTATTTACTTATCTATTTATATTTTAAATTCAGGGGCACATGCGCAGGTTTGTTATTTAGGTAAACTTGTGCCACGGGGGTGTGGTATACAGATTGCTTCATCACTCAGGTATTAAGCCTAGTACCCTTTTGTTATTTTTCCTGATCCTCTCCCTCCTCCCACTGTTTACTCTCAGGCCCTGGTATCTGTTGTTCTCCTTTATGTTTCCATGTGCTCTCATCATTTAGCTTCTACTTGTAAGTGAGAACATGTGGTATTTGGTTTCCTGTTTCTGTGTTAGTTTGCTAAGGATAATGGCCTCTAGCTCCACCCAGGTTCCTGCAAAGGACATGATCTTGTTCTTTGTGATGGCTGCATGTATTCCATGGTGTATCTGTACTACATTTTCCTTAACCCGTCTACCATTGGTGGGCATTTAGGTTGATTCCATGTCTTTACTATTGTGAATAGGGCTGGAGTGAACATACATGTCTTTATGACGGAATGATTTATATTCTTTTGGGTATCTACTCTGTAGTGAAATTGCTGGGTCAAATGGTAGTTCTGTTTTTAGTTCTTTGAGGAATCACCACATTGCCTTCTACAGTGGTTGACCTAATTTACACTCCCACCAACAGTATATAAGCATTCTTTTTCTCTACAACCTTGCCAGAATCTGTTTTATTTTTTTGACTTTTTAATAATAGTTATTCTAACTGGTGTGACATGATAAGTCATTGTGATTTTGATTTGCATTTCTCTAATGATCAGTGATGTTAAACTTTTTTTCATGTGCTTGCTTGCCGGATGTATGTCTTCTTCTGAAAAGCGTTCATGTCCTTTGCCCACTTTTTAATGTTTTTTTTCCTTATAAATTTGTTTAAGCTCCTTTTAGATGCTGGGTATTAGACCTTTGTTAGATGCACAGTTTGCAAAAATTTTCTCATTGTGTAAACTGTTTACACTCTTGATAGTTTCTTTTCCTGTGCAGAAGCTCTTTAGTTTAATTATATCCCATTTGTCAATTTTTGCTTTGGCTGCAATTGTGTTTGGTGTCTTTGTCATGAAATCTTTGCTTGTTCACATGTCCAGAATGGTATTATCTAGGTTGTCCTTTAGGGTTTTTATAGTTTGGGGTTATACATTTAAATATTTAATCCATCGATTGTGGTGTAAGGAAGGGGTCCAGTTTCTACTGTCTCTACTAAAACTACAAAAATTAGCCAGGTGTGGTGGTGGGAGCCTATAATCCTAGCTACCCAGGAGGCTAAGACAGGAGAATTGCTTGTACCAGGGAGGCGGACGTTGCAGTGAGCTGAGACTGCACCTCTGCACTCCAGCCTGGGCAACAGAGCGATACTGCATCTCAAAACAAACAGACAAACAAACAAAAACTACCTGTTTAACAGCAGAATATTTGACTTGACTTGTTTGCATGTTTGTTGCCCACTATCCAAGTGAAAATCTCTGTGGGGATAGGTATTATTTGAATTTTTTTAAATATATATTTTAGCACAGTGGCTGGCATATAGTAGGAGTTTAACAAATTGTTGACTGATTGACTAAACCACTAAAAGAATGAGCAGAAGAAGAGAATCTATAACAATAGCACACATTTATTCAGTGCTTCATTCATTCATTCATTCACTCAATACTGTTACTGAACTCCTATAATATGCCAGCCATTGTTCTAGGCACTTGCAGTGAGCAAAATAGACAAAATCATCTACCCTTGAAGAGGTTACGTTCTCATGAGGAAGACAGTCAATCAACAATATGAACTAAGTGCATGTATAGCATGTTAGAAGGTAATATGTGCTGTATGGAAGAAAGAAAGATCAGGGCACAGGATGCAGTACTGAAAAAGTGAGATTTGAACAAAGGAGGGAATTTAAGGGTTTAGCCAAGCAGTTATTTGGGGAACAGCACCTTAGGCAGAGAAAAATAAAGAACCCTAAGATGGAAATGTGCTTACCATGGAAAGAACCCTAAGATGGAAATGTGCTTACCATGGTCTAGTGAAGAGCAATAAGGCCAGTGTGGCTGGAGCAGAGGGAGCAAAGTGGGGATTGGCAGGCAGTGAGGACAGAAAAGCAATGACAGGGTTTTTATGCTCAATGAAGCCAGAAAGCATTGGAGGGTTCATAACAAAAGAGTTACATGATGTGATTTATATTGAGACAACTTTGGCTGTTATTTGGACAAGAAGTTGTAGAAGCAAAGGCAGAAGCAGAGAGTCAGATGGGAAGCTATTCCAGGAATCCATGTATGAGATTATAGCAGCCTAGGATTGGTCAGATTCTGGTTATACTTTGAGGGGAAGCCAGCAAGATTTCTTGTTGGATTTGACGTTGAGTGAGAAAGGACCTGAGGATGACTCTGAGGTTTTTAGACTGAATAACTGGAAAGAAAGCACTGCTCTAAAAGTTTTCCCTGTTTTAACTCATCTAATATCCCACAAAAACTAGACAAATAAGTATTGATTCCATTTTCAGTTGGCACACTAAGAGACAGAGAAGCTGTCCAGGTTACACAGCTAGTAAGAAAAAGAGTCAGGGTTTGACCAGGCAGGCTGGTTCTAGAGCCTGTGCTCCCAACCAGTGTGCCATGCTTCCTCCCCATGACAGCATCTAGTAGGATGAAAGGCTTTTATACTGAGATAATATAATAATATTATAATCTAGGCAAATATTATTATATTATAATCTAGGCTATATTATAATCTAGGATAATATTATAATCTAGGCAAAATTCAGGTCTGAAAAAGGAGGGTTGCCACAAGAATAAAAAGAAAGGCATAAATTCATGTACAAGATAACCCAAAATGGGCAAAAGACACACCAGAATTTGTGCAAGTTTTAAGACAGAAGGCCAGGCAAGGTGGCTCCTGTCCATAATCCCAGTGCTTTGGGAGGCTGCAGTGGGAGAACTGTTTGACGTTAAGAGTTCAAGACTAGTCTGGGCTACATAACAAGACCTCATCTCTACAAAAGATTTAAAAGAACTATCCAGGCATGTTGCTACTCAGGAAGCTGAGGAAGGAAGATTACTTGAGCCCAGCTGTGTGAGGCTACTGTGAGCTATGAAGGTGCCAATATGCTTCAGCTGGTGCAACCAGCAAGACTGTATCTTAAAAAAAAAAAAGAAGACAGCAGCAGCTCTGAGTTTATATCGTCACATTCAAATACTCAGATGGCTAAGTTGTAAGGACTATAGACAGAGTGTCCTTTTGTGTGGCCTGGGCACTTAGAGATACTACCTCATACCAAGCTTTCTACCTTTAGTAACTAGAGGGTATCCCAAACTAATTGAATCCTGTAGGTCCTAGAATACAAATAAGGTGCAGCAATGTTCTAATAATGCTGTAGTTTGAACATAGGCAAAAATGTTCATATTAGATAGGAAGAGTGTTACAGTTTGTAACTTTGTTGGGTTATAAGAAGTACATGTACAGCCTGACCTGATACTGGCTGTCAATAAAAGGTAGGAACATGCCCAGCCAGCCCCAGGAAAGTAAGAGCCCTTTGGCCCTCTCTCTGGGGCAGCCTGGTATAAAAGACATGTTGTATGGTCTGTTACATTGTGGTTGTATCTGCTAGAAACTTCTGGAGAAATTTCTATCCCCACCTCCTCCCCAGTCAGCATGTACCTTTTGCTGCCTGAAGGAAAGAGAACCGTAACCCTTGGTCTCATTTAATCTAGGGACCCACCTTCAATTCCACACTCAAATCTGAGTCTATTTCTCTGTGCAAAGGGCCACTTTCTTGGTGAAAAACTAAAACAAAGCGGCACTTACTTTCATCTATAGAATTAGTCACTACAAACCAGAACCGTATGAATTAAAGATAGGCTTTAATTCTTCTAAAGAGAAAAATAAGTATTCTTATCTATTTTAGGTAATACTTTGTGTGGCAGACTGTATTTTTCAAGTACAATATTTCTCCCATCCTACATGTTCCTACGAGATAGCTTTTACATTTCTCCCATTGAGGGACATGGTCTGTGTCCTCTCCCCTTGAAAACGGGTGGGCTTTTGCACATGGTAAGTAATAATCCTTGACTTCTATGGCTAGGTATAAAAGGCAATACAGCTTCCATTTTGTTCACTGGAATGCTTACTCCTGAAGCCTTCATTCTGACTCCCCTGAGACTGCCATGCTGTGAAGAAGCTCAAAGTAGCTCAATGGGAAAGATCACATGGAGAGGACCTGAGAATGCATGGAGATCTCCGGGTATCCCCCACTGCCTCAACCTTCTGGTTCCTCGTTAAGTCACAGTCTGACTGCAACTGCACCAGGGATCCCAAACAAGAACGACTCTGCTTCTCAAATCACTGATCCTTCAAAGTGGTGAGACATGTAGCTTTGATGTAGCTTTAAGTCATCAAATTTAGGGGTAATTTATTAGACAATAATAGATAAACTGTAACAGCTTGAGAAATGCTATTTACATAAAGATAACAAAGGCTACACAAATAGTATACTAACTGATAGAAAATAAGCTAAATATGTACACTGAATATATACAATATGTAGACTATATTAAAAATTATATATCAATCATTTTGAATGAATCTATTATATATAATACTTTATATATAACTTATATATATATTCATCCAAAAATAATAATTTAATCATTTGCTGATGCCAGACACAGTGATGGACCTAAGTAAGTATGTTCAATCACTTTTCCATTTAGACACTTGAAGAATTATATATACTCCTGTGCAAAATAGTGGTCCATCATGGTGGTGGATTCTCAGTGGGTGAGGTTACATCAGGTGCTTACCAAAACTTCATTTCTTACCTTCTTTCTAGTAGAATCTAATTTTCTTGGAGATGACAATGTGCCCACCTAGAAAATTATAGTTCACAGCTTCCCTTGCAGCTAGAGATGGCCATGAGGCGGTTTTGACCATTGACATGTAAGTGGAAGTTGTTGTGTGGGACTCCTGGAAAGTCCTTTAGAAGGAAACAGATCTAGACTCTATTGTATTTGGTACTCAAGGAAGCATACAAAGACATTTTCTTCCCTTGCAGTATATAGTATATGTGGATTTTCTCTGTATCCTTGCCCCTCCCCAGAGTAGTTAGCTGCATGGCATGATGCTTTGGAATGACAGACAGTAACTACAGTCTGTTATATCCAATTGCTTCCTACAAGAAGGAAATACTGGAAAGTGCTGGTGATAGAGAGCTTTGGGCTCCATGTAAGGGATTCTTTTCCAGAAGCTCTCATACCCAGACTGATCATGCTACTCCTCCATCAAACATCTTCAGTGGGTCCTGATGAACATTATATTGTTTTATCAAAGCTAGCTACTTAACATTAGGAAAATAATATTGCAAATCTGTAATACACTTTTCACTTGTCAATAGGTATGCTGGCTTTGTTTTTATTAACATTTTTGTAGGCCTGTCTTTTTAAACTGTACTGTAAACTTTTTAAGGGCAGAGACCACATCCAGTACATTTTAAAGTTTCTCACGACATTTAGATGCGGTGAAAACCCTAAATACTGACTACCAGTGAAAATATGTCAATTCTATCATTTTGATTTCTAACTTAAATAACATCTATATAGAAAATTATAGTACACATATTGCTTTTTAAAAACTGGACAATTTCAAACATACACAAAAGCAGACAGAAGAGTATAATAAACTCCTATGAAGTGAACCCATTACCCAACTTTAACAATTATCGACACCTCCTTTTCTTTTTACTAGAGTATATTAAAGTGAAATCGGACAACCTATTATTTTACATATACATACTTCAGTGTATATATCTCACATATAAGGACTTTAAAATATATCCTTCTGCAATACGGTAACATCTAATATTAATAACTTCTGTCTTTTAAAATTTAGTTCATGTTCAGTTATATCTAACTGTTATAAGAATGTCCTTTTATGATGGTTTGTTCAAATCGGATTCAAATGACATTTGGTTAGTATATTTTAAGTATTTTTATCTACAAAAGTTACCTTCTCTGGTTTCCCTTTTTTAATGTCATTTATTTTTTGAAGAAACCAGGTCATTTGCTCTATGGAATTTCCTACTTTCTGGACTTGGCTGATTGTATCCTCTTGGTGTCTTTTAACTCTTCCTCTATAGCTGTATTTCCTGTAACTAGCAGTTTAGATATAGAGGATTGATTAGATTCAAGTTCAATTTTTTTTTGCCATGAATACCTCATAATATTACAGTGTATTAAGAGACAAAACATCTGCTTGTCCCACTTTGAATGACATTAAGATTGATCAGTGGGTTCGGGTTGTATCAGCACAAGCCGTCCCCATCAACCTTTCTTCTGTTTCCATCCCTACTGGCTCTAATAAATGGGGCTAGCTAATGATCACTGTTTTTTTCACTGTTTTAGCAGACCTTCTCATTTTAGCAAACAGTGATCATTAGCTAGCCCCACTTATTAGAGCCAGTAGGGATGGAAAAACTATTCTTTTTTTTTTGTTAATTTTTTCCACTTAAAAAACCTTGCCTAAGAAAATACCACCAATTTTTAAAATTCTGTACAACCTAAACATCTAACTCAAATTCAAATTCCTTGATAGTCTTCCCAGTCTGCTAAGTGGCAGAACTGTCACTCATTTGGCACCTATCATCTACTGCCCTGACACATAATTTCATCTGCCAGTTGGTAAGCTCCAGGAGATCCCAATTATGTCCTAGGTGTCTTTGTATCCCAAAGATGAACACAGTACATGTACAAGAAATACGTAAAATAACTTTGATTGGTGAGTATTCAAATTAAAAGCCACCAACCCATGCAAACACATGCAGCTAGATTCCAAAATGGAAAATACACACACATATACATGCAATAACACAAATTTATTATAATACACAGGGAAAAACAAACTTTAACAATGTCCACGGAGTGTTCCAGTCTTTAAAAAGTTAACAGAAATAAAGAGTAATAGAACAGTGTCATAATTTTATAATTAAGGCAGTAAAATGGCAAAGTCCTATAGATATTTAAAAATCTATATTTGTATTTATTTACAATATACATATAGGTCCTCAAGTATTCATAGAGTTTTATGTAATAAACTAGATTTGGAGCTATCTTTTTTTGTTGTTGTTGTTGTTAGGTAAGCAAACCCAAACAAATTAAGTCCTGAAAAGTGGGATGAAATCCCAAAGGAACTCTATGTGACCACACAGAACTCTTTTAATAAATATGGCCCATATAAATTCTATATCCAGTGAAAATCATTTTGATCCACAATCATGTTGATGTTTCTATGGAGGATACTTTTGGCAGTTATGATTTCTTTTGTAGCATTCTAGCTCTCCACTTCTATTCATATAATTGAGTATGTGTTTTATTATATGTTAGCTCATAGGCAAGTTAAACATTTTAAAGACTGCAGGGAGGTGATACGAGGTTGTATGATGAAGGTCGGAAAGTATGCAAGAATTAAACTCTCCTGTTTCATCTATTTTATTTTTGCCTCATTTTGGTCTCTATATCACTTGGGTCTTTGGAAATTGTGTGATTTATAACAGCACATGACATACCTTCTCATTTTAGCACAGGTAAGATATGAAGAGCCAAACCTGGAAAACAGTTAAGGAATCCTAAGACCTTGCAGTAGAATAAATTAAAGCAGCAGTTTCCTTTAGCTGTGCTCTTTTGTCCTTTATTCTTTTTTTAAAAAAATATAAAATTACTTCCATTTATCAACCTTTACTTTCTCATACTGTAATCAAGTGAAATCGCAAAAGATTACTTAAAGGCAAATAACCTTATGAATCTGGTAAGTGTAAAGATAAAAGGCCATGATATTGAGTAAAACTTAGGCATTGTTGTACAATAACTATATCTGTGTGTTCAAAATTAACTGGGGCCTTAAGTACTAATTGTTTAAAGTCCTATGAACATAAACAGTCCTTCAAAACTGAATATAAATAAAAGAAGAAAAAAACTGGGAAAAATTCACAAATGTCCAAATATTGCTATTTCTTGGACAAAACTCTCTTAATAGTTTTGGTTCTCTGACAAGAAAATGTAAAAATAACAGAATTTTAGAAAGTAGTGATTTTAAAGAAACAAAGTCTATGCCAAATGAATTTCGGGCCTTTGTTACATGGTTTATAGGTCTGGAAACAGAAACCCAGGTTGTTGATTAATTCACAATTCTGGAAAATATTTTATTGTGCAGTATATCTATAACTTTATATTATATAATCTATAGCTATTATGTAGTCTGTCTCTCTCCCAAAGTAGAACAGCCCTTGCTTACATAATCAATTTTCCCCTAGATATTTTCTGTGCCACAATTTGCCTCTAGTTGCTTCACAGCCACTCTAACCCAATCTGGAAACTGTGTACAATGGATAATATTATTTATGATTTAAGGTTGTACCTGCAGTGTGCTAATGATCTGAACATTTAAGTTTCTAACTATATATTTAACCAAGATAATAATTTAAACCATGACAATGTAAGAAAGTGGTGTGATACTATAACAGACAACAGATTTTTCCCACTGAACTACACAGTACTTTTTTCATTGGCAAATTCACCTCTTTCCAGAGATATAGTTAATTGTAAAACAGTAATAGCAAAATGTTCATTAACCCATTAAAACAAATCATCTTATTTTTAAAACAATCAACTGAATGAAACTTGGTGTGAAGTGCATCAGGGTACTAACCCAAAGGATTGCTACTTCGAAACTGTTTGTACAACAAAAGGGTTGTGAGGAAGTCTTATCAGCAGAACTGGTGATGGTTACGAAAAAGATCCTTTGAAAATTATCATTAGTGATTTTAAATGACAAGTTATCAAAAACTCACTCAATTTTCACCTGTTAGCTCACTAAAATGGGAATTAACTCTAGAGCAAATATAGCATCTTCTGAATATAGTCAATAAATGACAAAGTCAGGGCCTATGGTTGGAGGTTTCCAGACCCAGCAGAGGGAATCTATGGTATCACATGAATCTCTGTCCTTGCTCAAAATATCTAATGATATTTTTCATCTTTACTGGACTTCCTTGAAGAGTACTGTATTGCTTCATATCTTCCTTTCACTGTAACAAAATGTGTTAAACAAAACCTTTGGATTAGGTTTAAAAGCCCCTTTAAAAAAAAACAAACAAACAAACTCTGGCTGCTGTAGGCTCTAACTATCAGAAGACTGTTATCTGGGAGCTTCAGGCTCTCAAATATCAGACATCCCAATAACTTATCATAAAAATACAAGCTCTTAGTTTTGAAAAATATACAAAATGCACTGCATAGGTAAATATCTCTTGATTGTCAAGGAAGACAATATATCACTTTTGATCATAGACTTATGTTGTGCTTCAGTGATCTTTGTTTTTGCAAGTTCCATTTTTCACAGTTTTGGGCAACCTCTGACCTTTGGTGTAAGCACGGTACCAAAAATGGAGAAAGAGCAGCAGAAAGATGCAACCATAACTCATAATGATGTACAGAAAGACTGGAAACTGATACTTGCAATCCTCCATGAAAAAGAACTGGCCTATGTGGATGGTGACAATAACAAACTGGACCTAAAAAATGAAAACGTGAAAAAAAATTATCCAGATATGAAGAGTTACAATTATTTACCTACCTATGTTTATGCACTCCCAAGGTGCAGGGAGTGCACTGTTGGACAGAGAAGTCCATCTTTAAATCTAGCCTCCCTGGGAGTGATATGGGTGCTACAGTATCAAAAGCCAGTTGGAAGTATGGATCCACTATTCAGAACTGCAAAATAGCACAACTGTAGGGTCCATATTTAAATGTTTCCTGGTGCTGTGCAGTGCAGCAACCTTTTCACTACTCACAGAATCAACAGAGCAAGTTTTCTCTATAAGTCTCTGACTTGAGTCCTTGACTATGATGAAATGACCATGGGACCACTACCTTGTGGCCTATTTTTTCAGGATGATTTCAATTTCAAATATTCTGTCCTGACACTGGACCAGATATTTTAATTTTTGGAAAATAAAAACATTTTACCTAGAGCCCCTTGAATTTTGTAGTAGCCAAAGCATCTCTGAATCTTTATACCTGCCACTTGTCCTCCACTGTCATAGGTGAAAATATGTCTGAACTGTCAACTGAGGCAGATAATCTATAAGGTATAAGAGAGAACGGGTGGCCCTTCTAGTAGTGCTCAAGGGCTCTGTGGGGCAGAACATCTTACACAGTCCCAAAAGGGACCTTTTCTAGGCTAATATTCAGATTTCCTGGTTATCATGTTTTCCCTGATTAAAAGGCAACAGGTGTTTTATGGAAATTTTAGAAAAGTGAAACTCTATAAAGAATAGATAACAATTACTCATAGTCTATCTAGTTATAATCATGGTTAAGATTTTCATATAATTTATTATTATTTTATCCTTATCATCATCAGGTTTCCTTGCATTATCTTAATGTATGATTCTGACATTCCCTTAGCATAGCGATTTATTCCTCTCATTTTTCAAAAGAGAAAACAAAACTTTAGGAAGGCTAAGCAATGTCCTCAACATTCTATACATGTGTGTATTTGTGTATAATTGACTCCTTTGAGAATGTAATGAACAAATGTCCATCCTATTTTATCTATATCAGTATTTTTCCACATTATTAAAAAGTCTGTACAACATTTTAGAGTATGTTAAGAGAAAAAAAGCCTAAAAACAAAATTATATATGCAATTCTATACAAATCATGTAAAAGGTGTATACATATGCCTGAGAGAAAAACTGGATGAGAACAAAATAAAAACATCAGCAGTGATTATCCCTGGGTGGTAGAATTACATGTATTTGTTTTCTCTTTGCTTAATTAGGTGTTCTCACTTATTTGCAATAAGCATATACTACTTTGAGAAAATAATATTTTTTAAAGAAGCAACAATGAGTAATTTTCATGACTTCATAGTATTTCAAAGTATGAATCAAAATAGTCTATTTTATGATTTCCTTATGGTTGGTCATTGAGTTTGCTGCCAATTTCAGATATAACAAATAATTCCACAAGGAAATACTCTGATCTTAATTTTGGATCCTTACACATTAAAATATCAGTCTCTCACCTGAGAGAACACATTATATGAATGTACCAAATTTCATTTAGCAAGTTCTGTAATTGAAATCTGTAACAGGATTTTAATAAAAAAATTAATCTTCAACACACTAAGCCAAATTCATATTTTCCCATTGGTGTTACTGGTAGACTATGACATCAATTTATTATAGACTGCAAATGTGGAAACACAAGGATGGCAGAATTCTCCTTTTAATAGACACCAATAAAATTTAAAGCAAATCATCATCTCAAACCCATAATTATTCTCCAAAAAAATTAAGTACCATATATTTTGAGAATTAATGCTTAGAATGTATTATTAGGCCTAAACTGAGTGCTTCTGCTCTTTCAAACACTGCTTATATTAAGGGCAGTATTCAGATTTATGTAATACATATATGTTGGTCGAACCCTCTACATTTTTAATTCTCACAATGCTTTTCATTGATTGGAGGAAAGATGGACTTAAAATGTTAGGACTTGAAAGGTAAGCACACAGGAAGGCTCATCGTTCCCTCAAAGTTGCATTCCTTCAAGGTAATTTGATCTAATGGAATTTCTAATTTAGTGTTATACCTATTGAGGCTCTTACAACTTTGGAATTATTTTGATCACAAATGTATTTATTTTTGTACAAATGCGTAAAATAGTATAAAGATGGCATAAAAATACACATGCTGGTTTAACTGTCTGAGCCTCCTGGTTACCAAACATGCTTTGTTTTCAACAAAGTTTCTAACAAAGTTCAGCTAACATATTAAGAACAATGATGGTATATCATATAGGGGCCAGACATTTGACTCCTATTGTTTTGTTAACTTTGTTCTTTTTCTTTTTTGAGATGGAGTCTCATTCTGTTGCCCAGGCTGGAGTCCAAGGTATGATCTTAGCTAACTGCAACGTCCACCTCCCAGGCTCAAGAAATTCTCCTGCATCAGCCTCCCAAGTAGCTGGGATTACAGGTGCCCACCACCACACCCAGCTAATTTTTGTATTTTTAGTAGAGATGGGGTTTCACCATGTTGATCAAGCTGGTCTTGAACTCCTGACCTCAAGTGATCTGCCTGTCTCGGCCTCCCAAAGTGCTGGGATTACAGGCATGAGCCACCGTGGCTGGCCAACTTTGTTCTTTATTTAACTAGTATCCTATTCACAGTAAAAACAAGTGACTCTAGTTGTTTCATATCTGGTTTTAAAGAAAATTAATTACTCACAAGCTGTAATGATGTCAAATATTTTTTCCACCACAAATACTTCTGGTAGGCTGGTCCCAGTGCACAGAGTCCATAGTAGGAATACATGACTACATGTACAGCTGTATTCAGAAAGGCATGAAATGTTCCCAAACCACCTGAAAAATAAAATTATTGTAACATGGGGCCATTGTTCCTTAAAATGAACCACATTTTTGTCTTAACTTAGATTTCTGTATAATTATTTCTTAAATTTAGGAAAAAAATATAAAATATAAATTTTGTTAAACAACTATCAAATTAGAGGGGGCTGAATAGTATATTTAGTAAAATATAAGATACAATTCTGAAAAGTAAATTATCATGTCTTTATTTTGTCATATCTTAGCATAAGGTGGTCTTATGATTTGAGTTTACTTAATCTTAGTTACCTTTTAAATATATTGCTAAATAATAGTAGTAACATTCATATTTTAGTGAGGGTTAACATATAGAAAGTCCACAAAGTACATTAATCTTAACTTGATGATTTTTCATGTATGTATACACCCATGTAACCACCAAGATCAAGATACAGAACATTTCCAATACCACATAAGATTCCCATGTGCTTCTTCCACAAATATACCCCTCCCAAGGTAACCTTTACTCTAACTTCTTATCACCAACTATTAATTTTGTCTGCTATTAAACTTCACATAAATGGAATTACACAGGATGTACTCTTTTGTACCTGGTACATATATTGGTAGTTTGCCTTTTTACTACTTTGTAGTATTATACCATATAAATGCATCATTAGTTACCCATTCTCCTATTGACAGACATGTGGGTTGCTTCCAATTTGGGCTATTCTGAATAACGCTGCTAAGAATATTTCTGTACATGTGATTGTGTGGAATCAAATTTACTTTTCCTACTCTCAAAAATCTTCAATAAATAATTTTGGTAGTAAAACCACTGGCTTTCATTAGCAAACTGCTTATTTACTTTAATGAATTATTGTTTTCCCAAAGTAAGTATCTATTAATTGTTAAACCATCCTTACTTGCTGCTTCCAATTGATTATGCCTTCCTATCTTGGTTTTCCTCTTCTAATTTTGCCACATTTCCTACTGATCACCTTCAATTAAGAACAGAAGCCAAGAACATGTGGGAATATAAGAAAAGATCATTTCAATTGTCTTTAGCTGGACCAGTAATATAGCAGAAGGGGTAACAGAGTGTTTAGCTGATAGTGTGGCAGGGGGAACACTGTCCCCTAGGGTCCCTTTCCTACTAAGAACAATCTGGAAAAATATGTGTTCTTTTTGTATAGCCTGAATCAGCTTAGTAATGTTGACCTGAAATTTACATTTTTCTCTAAAACATTCTATTTTCTTAATTCCAGCATTCTTTAATTCTGGAAATAAAGCAAAATCTCACCAAATTAGATTATGGTAGAAGAAGAACCGAATTCATAAACACTATGTATTATAGAAAGTTTAATGGAAAATACAAATTCATCACTTCTAATATAATCTTATAAGGAAAAAATCTAATAAAATTGTTATACAGGAGAAATTATTTCAAAATAATTATTCATAATTGTAGCAATTCTAGATATGTCTAGATACTAGCGCTGCTGAAGTACTGTTAAAATAACTTGTTTTAAATAATTACTTTTAAGTTGTTAGCTATTCTTCCAAAGCTTCATTTATGCTATACTGTTCTACATAAGCTTTCTCCTCCTGACTAGAGTAAACCAAATTTTAGCCAATCCCTCAATTACCATAAATTTCAAGTCAGAAGGAACGGAATTAATGAAGCTTATTAACAACTTTCCAGCTTGTATTATTTACACTTGGATTGGTCTTCGTTCCCAAAGGAAATCTCAATAAACAAATTACTGTGGTGTAAGAACAACTTTTCCAAGTTAATTTAAATATAGAATAGTTCGGCCAGGCACGATTGTAATCTCAGCACTTTGGGAGGCCGAGGCAGGCAGACCACCTGAGGTCAGGAGTTCAAGACTAGCCTGCCCAACATGGCAAAACCCCATATCTACTAAAAATACAAAAAATAAGCTGGGCATGGTGGCGGGTGCCTGTAGTCCCAGCTACTCGAGAGGCTGAGGCAGGAGAATCACTTGAACCCAGGAGGCAGAGGTTGCAGTGAACCAAGATCATGCCACTGTACTCCAGCCTGGGTGACAAGAGTGAGATGTCTCAAAAAAAATAGAATAGTTGTCTACTTCTGGTAGTTTAGGAGTCAAGCTGCTTAAAAGGAGGATAAGCCAAATACCTCTCAAATTCATTTGTGTTTTGTAATAATATACACATAGAAAATATATTTCACCTTTGATATGGAACTAAGTCAGAGCTTTTCTAACTAAGATGCCCCTCACATTATTTAATAGAGGAGTGCCTATTTTCTATTTGGACACTTTCACCATTAAATATCCTAAAATGAGAATCTTATACACAGGGATTTAACAAAGCACTAGTGTAGCCAAGAGTGTCTCATAAGGCTTACTGATCAAAATAAGCTGTCAAATAAAAGTAACATGTTTACTTTCTCTAGTTATAATTATTTTCTGACAAGCTATTTTAATAAGTTTATTTACAAAACAACAATATTTTAATTAGTAATGATTTTTGTATCTTCTTTGGAAGGCTTTCTAACAAAATATTTTCTAAGCCTGTGCTCTTCTTTATGATAATGGGTCTGTAAACAAACATCTGAGAACGAATTACAATTAGTACCATCACATGTTACTGCTTTGGAAAAAACAAAGGAATCACCTGGGTAATTATCACTGTTCTCCCTATCTCTGAAAGGAGATACATGCACAATTAATATAAAAACCTGCCACAGAAATATATTCATCCTATTCAAAATAAAAGGTGGATTGCTATTACCCCATTTGAGGAGTACAACAGAAAAACAGGAAATTAAATACTAGATAGAGATCAACTACGCTCAAGTTTTTGCAAAGAACAGTTTAGAATGGACAGTTTCATTCTAGGAATGGAAGTCAGTGCCAAACCACATTTCTGGAAACAGCTTTTGTTGTTGTGCTTGTCACTGACACAGATATCAGGTCTGCTGAACAAGTGTTTACTAGAATTCCACATGTAAGACTGAATAGAAGTACCAATGCATGGAACATATGAGGGAGAAGAAAACTATCACCTACTATTTTCATTTTGTAAAGAAGAAGGATTAAGGTGTGGACAAGAAACCCACTGTAAAGTGACTGATGTCCATAAACACAGTAGTACCACTTAAAAATTGAGGCGTATCACTTGGACCTGGGAGGCAGACCCAAGATCACACCATTGCACTCCAGCCTGAACAACAACAAAAGCTAAACTCTGTCTCAAAAAAAAAAAAAAAAACTGTTAAGGTTACCAATGTTTATACAGTCACCCAAAGCTCCAAGATCTCAAGAAATTTTATATTTCACAAATGCAAATGTACAAAACTCTGTCTCAAAAAAAAAAAAAAAATGAGGTATGTCATATTTAAATTCTCATTATTAAAAGCACTGCTTGCTTTTGAAATGGAAACTACACTATCAATGGACTCAAACATGTAAGTTAGAAAAATTATCAATTCATTAAATGTAATTTATTTCTCCCATCATTGAAGTATCAGATATTCAACATACAAAAATTAGAAAATACAGAAAAAGGGAGGGAAATAAAGAAGGAGGAAAAAAAAAAACCACTTTTTGTTTCACTATCTCTAAATCACCACTGCTTATATTTTGGGATACTGCCTTCCAATTTTTTTCTATTCACATTTATTTTTCAGTGTGTATTCTGGCCTCATGCAAGAAACCAGAATAAATAAATTATAAGGATATGAAAGCACCTTTTCTAGCATACTTTAAAAATAGAATAGTCATCTATTTCTGATAATTTAGGAGTCAAGCTGCTTAACAAAGAAGATGAGCTTCGTTAAGTCCCTGGGTATAAGATCCTCATTTTAGGACACTTAATACCTCTCAATATCATTGTTGTTTCACAATTATACATACACAAGCAATAATAACCACTCTATTAGTGAGTGTTTAGGTATTTTCCAATTTTTCACAAACACCAATAAGTCTCAATGTATATCACTACAGAAAGAATGGAAAGGGGCAATATGCATAGAAGAAGAAACAGAAACACAGAAAGTAAGGATAAGTAAAATAATGGAGATTAAATAATATAGTTACCGTTGATTTGAGAAATGAACATCACTGGGACTATCTTGTTTTAATGTAAGTTAAATGTTTTCCCTCCAGACCTTATAAGAAAAAGCAGCTACGTTTACTTAAAAACATTCCTCAATAATAAATGCCAATTTTGAGCAAGGAGGTACTTTACATCCTGGAAAATCAGATGCCCATAAGACATGGTAGGGACAGCTGTTTACTCATGATTTGCAGCCCCTGTGGCTCCTCTGCGTTCTGGCATCCCCTTCCAGACACTGGCTTATCCATGTCCTCTCATGCTCTGAGACATGTAGATTTTTTTCCTCCATGCTTACAGAGTCTAGAACTCAAACAAGAGTTCCTCAATTGTGGTTCCTCCTTTCTTTTAGTCTAGCAGAGTCAGAAAGGCCAGTAGAGGCAAACTATTCACAGAAATGTTATGAGCTATGGGCCTATTTGAAGGCTTCTAAAATTTAAGAAACTGGAATAAATAAATTCCCCAACCAAATTTTCCTAAGTAAGAATATATCCCCTTGGGGATATCACTTATTTAAAACTGCATAATAGGATAAAATTAATTCTGGTTTCTCCAATTCTAGATGTTCAGAAGCCTAAAATGAAAAAGAAACAAACAACCTGTTTTCCAAGTTTTTAATTTAAACTATTTTGGACCTTAGAAACAATATCAACACATCTTTTAACATGGTAGGATGCTTTAGGAATTTGGGGTAATCACAATTTGACACATCTTTAAAGAGCTATTAGGGGTTAGAGTGTGTGTCAGGTATTAGAAATTTGAAGGCAAATAAGACATAGAATTTGGGATAAGCATTCTAACTTCCTGGGAACATACAGGAAATTGTTCTCTAACTATGCTCCTATAAAGCCAAAGCTTTTACCATTTTATTTATTTATTATTTATTTATTTAAAGATATTTAATAAACCTTTTTGGGAAAAAAGTAAAATACAAACAAAACAACCAAAGAATATGTGTAGAAGGCTGTGGCCAGAAGTTATGCATATCTAAAGAGTGGGGGAAACCCAACTATTTTAAGAGTCTTATGTTTAGTTTTCAAGTAATAATTCAGGAAAAAAGTATAAACAAAGTGACTCTTCGATTTTTTGAGTTTCTTATAAATCACATTTCAGAAAAATATTTTTGTTTATAGCATACAGAAATGTTATTGTTTATAACACATGATCCCAACTTTCCCTTGCCTACCTGCAGCAAATTTGACTCCAAACCACCAGGTCCATGGCATGATGGTATGATGAAATACATGAAGGAAAGTCACTTGGCTATTTTTCTTGCGCAGAACAAAAAAGATCTGAAATAATTTAAAGAATATCAAGTTCATATAAAATCATATGACAATGTATTGAGTATTACAAACATATTGGCAAAGTGCAAAGTATTTTATAATTTTATCTAAAAGTGTTGCCTTATAGAATGCTTATAGAAGCAACTAATTCCCCAAGGGGCAGCTCAAAAGCTAATTATTATGAAGAAACTTAGGTACCATGCTTACACATGGCAGAACCAATAAAAAGGTGAAATAAAACTTTACGTAGATTTAAAAATCAAAGATATAAAGTATGGAATATGGCCAAAAGTTACTGAAAGAAACTGTATTGGTTAAAAAAAAAAAAAAATCCCAGTGGATTTTGAAGTATATGGGAAAGCAGAAGACTTAGGAGTGAAATATTCCACATTGCTCTCTAATATATCTTACTGACGTGGATAAAGAATTAGGCAAATGAAGAGGACTTGCAACAAATCAAAAGTTAGCAAGTTAATATTAAAGAAAAATGAAGGGAGAAAAGTTGAAAAGTTAATTTGAGAAATATGATGGAAAAGAAAGTAAAACTGCATAGAAAAAATTGAGAAGGGGAAGGAATGTAACACTCAGAGTGAACATATCCTGTGGTTTGTAAAAACCCTATAAACAAAACGGTAGAATCTGGGGGAGGGGGAAATGTTTAAAAAACATTCCAAAGTGAAATTCAGAATACGAGTGTTAAGGCTTTTAAATACAAGACTAAACAGAATTGCACAAAGAAAAGGATTAAGAGGAGTATTTGAGAAATGTAGTTTAGGGAAGGACATAGAAACAGCACAGTTTCCTTATGGAAGCTGGAACTAAGAACATGCAAAGCAGAAACAATGAAGCCAAAATGCATTTGCGTATGCACAGGGAAGATGGCTGAGTGGTACAACAGAAAAAGCCATACACTGTCAATCTGGGTCCTAGTACCAGTCAGTAGCAGCAGTTCTCTGAGTAAGTCATTTAACTTCTTGGCTTCAATTTCTCAGCGTGAAGGTTCTGGACTAATGCTTCTCAACCGTGGCTGCATATTACAATATCCAAGAAGCTTTTAAAAATAGCTATGCTTGGTCTCTCTTCCAGACCATTTGGCACTAAATCCCTGGAGGTAGGGCCTTTTTTTTGTCATCATTGTTTTCCCTAATGCAATTAATTCTATTGCACAATTCGGGCTGAGAACCACTAGAATACAGGTTCTCAAAATGTGGTCCCTGGACCAATAGCATTAGCATCATCTGAGAACTTGTGAGAAATGCAAATTTTGAGCTCCATCTAAGACCCTAGTGAATCAGAAACTCTGGGGGTGGGGATCTAGGCATCTGTGTTTTAACAAGTCTTCCAAATGATTCTAAACACATGTTAAAGTTTGAGAACCATTGTATTTTATAGTCACACAGCCCTTTCCAATCCTAACATTATGTGATTAGTCATTTGAAAAGGTGAAGCACACTGATATTTCCTATGAGAAATATCATGGTATGCATTCCAAAGAAAACACACTTTCCGGTCTCAGAGCCAAAACTAGCTCCAAATAACCAAGATACACTTGCTACAAAAATATAACAAATATTCAGCTTTCCTGAGCTACACTGGAAACAAAGGCTCATGGCTTTCTCCTCCAAATTACAGACCCTAATCCTTGACACTTGCTTCTCCCAGGACCAGTCATCCAAGTTTAGAGTTGATCCTCACCGGGATCTAAAGTAGGAAGAGATAGTGCCCAGTAAGCACAGACTTCAGAAAAGCAGCTGAATTATTGATACTCCAGTAGTAATTCAACATTCTGGTGTAAGTTTATGAATTTTTAAGCACTTATTCTCCTAAAGGAATATAGATGACTATGCTTTAGGATGAAAAAAACAAAACAAACAACAAAGGTAAGATGTTTTTTGCTTTTTATTTCCTGAACTTGATTCATAAAACAACTGTCATCCATCTATGTAAAGATGCAGTTTTGTAGTATACAACATAGTTACATGCTTATCTTAATCAAGTGATAGCTACATAACAGAAACCTTTTAGAGTTTGCAAAATACTGAAAAAATAAAGTTATCCTATCTATTCTCTAAAGTTACTGATAATAAAAGATTAAAAAAGATAACAGTAGGTCTACCTGAAAAGGAGAAATAAAAAGTTATCAGACAAGTGAAACTACAGCAGTTTATTGCTTTCACTGAAAGATCAAACATTTTTTTGAAAGATCAAACATTTACCAAATGTGGTGGCCATATACTCACCGTATCTAATAGCTCAATAAATTTGGAGAAGTAATAAAGCCAGCAGGTACGTGCCATCTGCAGAAGCATAAATAAATATAAATTAATTTTATTTATTTTTATATGGAAGAAAAGCTTATTTTTAAAAAAATTTTGGTAAAATATGCATAACATAGAATCTGTCATGTTAACCATTTTTTAGTGCACAGTTAAGTGGCATTAAGTACCTTTACATTGTTGTTCAACCATTTGCCACCATCCATCCATAGAACTTTTTCATCTTGCAAAATGGAAACTATACCTATTTAACTACATCCCATTCCTCCTCACCGCTAACCCTAGCTACAATTCTACTTTGTGTATATGAATTTGACTACCCTAGGTACCTCATATAAGCCAAATCATGTAGTATTTGTCCTTTTGTGACCAAATTATTTCACTTTGCATAGTGTTCTCAGGGTTCATCCCTGTTGTAGCATGAGTTAGAATTCCCTTCCTTTTAAAAGCTGAATCATATTCCATTCTATGATTATGCCACATTTTGTTTATCCATTTATCTTTTTTTTTTTTTTTTTTGAGACAGAGTCTCACTCTGTTACCCAGCCTGGAGTGCAATGGTGTGATCTTGGCTCACTGTAACCTCCACCTCCTGGGTTCAAGCAATTCTTCTGCCTCAGCTTCCTGAGTAGCTGGGACTACAGACACATGTCACCATGCCCGGCTAATTTTTATATTTTTGTAGAGATGGGATTTCACAGTGTTGCCCGGGCTGGTCTTGAACTCCAGAGCTCAATCCACTCACCTCAGCCTCCCAAAGTAATAGGATTACAAGCATGAGCCATCATGCCTGGCCTTGTTTATCCATCCATTTATCCATGGACACTTGGGTTGCTTGTACCTTTTGGCTATTATGAATAATGCTGCTGTAAACATGACTGTACAAATATCTCTTCAAGTCTCTGTTTTTGATTCTTTTAGGTATAAACTCAGAAGTGGAATTGATGAATTTTATGGTCATTTTATTTTTAATTTTTGAGAAACCAGATGTGAAATTATTCTTAAATCAAAGAAATTAAAAAAGAAAAGCACCAATTTTCATTATAGAAAATGATACATGGGACTTTCTTTCATTCTTGTAATTTTTAGCTTTTTCCCCCACAACACACAATCTGATAATTGAGTCATTTGCTTATTCTAAGTTTACATTCAATGTTACAAACGGTTGACAAAATTTTAACATTGATTTTGAATTTTGAGATTTTCCAAAGAGAAACTTACCCTCAAAGCTGTGGGTGACCATGAATAGTCAACAATTTCACATTGAAATGAATAACCTGTACCCCAGCCAGACATCACAAACTGCAAGAGAGCACATGCATATTAAGAAAGGAAAGCATATTCCCAATAGCCCAAACAAAGGTAGTTTTGATAGTATCTGTTCATTACATTTTCAGCTGAGTCAGTAGTCATTGCAGAGGAAAAGGTAGCTGGAACAAATACAAACTATGAACATTCTTGATATCAAGAATTTTCAAAACCACAAACTCATATATTATTTATATAAACTGTGTTCTCACTAAAATAATCATCTCTTGGGATGATTATTCTAATATGGTGAAGAATAAAACACTTGGAGGGGTGTTTTGCTTACGCAGCAAATACTGGTAGGTGATTTATGTTAGGTTCACCTGTATGTGTGGGAGTGAATGTGTTTGTGTACTCTTAGAGGAATACCTGGATCTGAATCAGTCTTTTCTACCAATTTCCAGTCTTTCTACTTCGTCAGTAAGTAAACATGGAAACCAGAATGCCTTAATTTACTCATGAGAGAGCTGCGACAACTGGGCTTTTCTCATCGTTGGCTGGTGAGTGTGATGTGGACTGGTAGTCCACGGTACAGATATTATTGATAGTTTTACTGTGGATCCACAAGACAAGTTAAGAGGAAAATACTCATGTTAACAATAAAAGTGCAATCTGGCAGGCCTTAATGCCAACGCACCCACAAAGTGATCCAAGGCTGGTGGTGAGAAGAAAGAACCTATTGTTGATAAATCTGAACTGTAATTCAAAGATTATGCTGATATTCTTTCAGTCTGATGGTGGGAAGGGCTTCTTTTAAAACAGTATCTGAAAAGGAAAAGCCAAGGCTCTAATTTTAAATTAACACATATATGAAATGGTATGCTTAATTTAGGGTACTGACAATATGATCAGTACTTCTTTTCTCTGACTTCTTATACTCATACATGTCAAATCCTCCCTGGAAGATCTTCTCTCTCAGTATAATGGTTATATCCTTTTCTGCCATTGAACCAAACTTTAAATTTCTAGTTTTAATTACTATTAAAGGTAAAATTGCAACTTTATAATAAATTACATTCTAGAAACAAAAGCTTATGCGGCATTGTCAGAATAATACTCTGATGGTACAAAGAAAAGAAACAAAAGAGTAGAACAATTATTAGATACGATGGTATTATAAAGTGCATCATTCTTTTCTGAGACTAGCCCCTAGCTTGACTTACAATTTAATCACACTGTTAACTTAGTAAGTTATAAAATCTTGAAAATTAACACTCCGAAAAGCACAACATGTATTTCATGAACGAGAAAAATATCTTTCAAAAACAAATCAATAGATTTTCCCAAAGGAATAAGGTCACATGGCATAGAAATGGCTAATTCTGTTTTATAATATCCTGCTGTCAGTGAGTGTCCTCATATTCTCCTGTGCTCAGACTCACTTTGACTAATGTAATGCTCTATGGTCAGGAGCTATTTACTGGAAATGTAATGAATAATACCCCAAACAAGCACTGTGTTGAATGAAAGTTGTGTGACTTGGCCTTCTGTTGGGTCTTAAGTGGTCTCTGCTAGTGTCTGACTGGTGCCAAGTAACTAGCACTTTCAAACAATTACTACACAATAAGGCACCTGAGTTCCTTGAGTCTGATGTGCCTCCCTTTCACCTTCTTCAAATTTGGCCTAATATCACCAGTGGAGGTGTTTGCTTCGTAAACCAAATGAAATATTCCGTACAATAAACCATGTGTTCAGATGTGCCATCAACAGATGGATAGCATAATGTGTGGCTGTCAAAAGCCTTTGTGTTACAAGAGTAGAACATTTAAGAGCATTCTAACAGCCTGTGGAACTTTTTACATATATGTCTATACTCCAGACTAGTAATAAGAAAAATTAGGCCAGGCCCAGTGGGTCACACCTGTAATCGCAGCAGTTTGGGAGGGTGAGGGAAGCGGATCACTAGAGCCTAGGAGTTTGAAACCAGTCTGGGCAACATGGCAAAATGCAATCTCTAAAAAAATTTAAAAACTAGCCAGACATGGTGGCACATGCCTGTAGTCCCAGCTACTTGGGAGGCTAAAGTGGGAGGATCATTTGAGCCTGGGAAGTCAAGGCTATAGTGAGCTAAGATTGTGCCACTGCACTACAGCTTGGCTGACAGAGCAAGACCCTTTTGGAAAGACAGAAAGAGAGAGAGAGACAGAGAGAGAGAGAATGAAATAAAAGAAAGAGAGAGAGGGAAAGAGAGAGGGGGGAGGGAGGGAGGGAGGGGAAGAGAGAAAGAAAAAGAGAGAGAGAGAGAGAAGGGAGAAAGAAAGATAAGATGGAAGGAAGGAAGGAAGGAAGCAAGCAAGCAAGCAAACAGGGAAGGAAGGAAGGAGAATTCTAAGAAATAAAGAAGGGAGGGAGGGACAGAGGGAAAGGAAAGGAAAGAAGGAAGAATTCAAACAAAGAAAGAGGGAAAGAAAAGGAGAATTCTAAGAAAGAAGGAAGGGAGGAAGGGAAAGGAAAGGAAAGAAGGAAGAAAAGAAAGAAAGAGAAAGAATGAAAGAATGAAAGAAAGAGAAAAAGAGAGGCCGGGCGCGGTGGCTCACGTCTGTAATCCCAGCACTTTGGGAGGCCGAGGCGGGTGGATCACGAGGTC